CCCCAAAACCCCAAAACCCCAAAACCCCGTATAGGATTTATAATAATTTAGTTAAGGATATTATAAAATTATAGTTAATAATAAATGCTAAAATAGATCCTAATATCCATAATTGCTCTAGCAGGTTTAGTCTCGGCAAAGTTTTCTTTTGACGACATTAAATTTAATGAGTATAATTTTACTCAGTTAGTCGACCATACCCAAGGTTCATCAGATAAAAGAACTTTCAATCAAAGATACTTTGTTAGTACTGACTATTTTGACAAGGACACCGGCCCAGTTTTCCTTTACATCTGTGGTGAAGGTACTTGTAAACCTCCAACTGATAGAGGTTATCCAGTAATGGTAGCAAAAGTTATGAGTGCTATGTTCGTTGTTCTAGAGCATAGATTCTACGGTTCATCCTAGCCTTTTGAAGATTGGTAAACAGCAAATCTCCATTATCTTAACGCAACATTAGCATTAGCAGATTTAGCTAATTTTATCGACTATGTATAGTCATCAATAAAAGCTCAGTATGGAGGAAATGATAGAAAAGTTGTTACAATTGGAGGTAGCTATCCAGGTGCTCTTTCTGCATGGTTCAAGGCTGCTTACTAAGACAAAGCAGTTGCTGCTTGGTCATCATCAGGAGTTATTCAGCCAATTAGAAATTTTGATCTCTTTGATACAGACATATACACTGCTACAAGTAGAAGTGGCCCTCTATGTCCTTAAGTCATTCAAGAAATTACAACTTATATTGACACAGCATTCCGTAATCATGAAAAAGGCAAAGATGATGATTACTCGTATATTCTCAGAGTATTTGGAATTGACTAAGTCAAAAATGCTGGAGATTTCATGTTCTTCATTGCTGATATATTCACCATTGGAGTTCAATATGGTGGAAGAAAAGAGCTCTGCTAAATTTTGATGAGTCTGGAATTCACTGATGTCAAGAATAGAGTACCAGTTATCGCTCAATATGCAAAGAATTAGAAATTAGACTTTTCGTAATATGATAGAGTTGCTCTACAAAACGTTACTTATGACATTGACAAGAACATGAGATAATGGACATGGCAATATTGCACAGAATTCGGATGGTTCTAAGTCCCAGCAGATAAAAATCCAATGAGATCAGCTTATATAAATGCTGATTACTGGGTTCCATATTGCGAGGAGGTCTTTGGTATCAAAATAGGTGATCCAAACATAAAGTACTACACTGACACCTATGGTGGATTAGATATCAATGCTAAAAATATTTACTTTGTAAACTCAATTGAAGACCCTTGGTAATGGGCTGGAATGAGAACTATTCATAATAAGGATACCTAAAAAGACTTGGTTGCTACTTTAATTGATTGCAACGACTGTGGTCATTGCCAAGATTTAAAAACTCCATCAGATGCTGATCCCCCTGCTCTTAGACTTGCAAGAGATGACATTCTATTGAAGCTCAAGGGATGGATTAACCCAACCACTCCTAAAGAAAGACTCTTCTTAGAGTGAATATCCGAAAAATATTCCATATTTCATTTCGAATCAATAATTTCAGCTTGAATTCTGACATTAAATGATTAATGGGGTTTTGGGGTTTTGGGGAGATCGGAAGAGCGTCG